TAACCATTTTTGAAATATTTAGACTTTTTTGAAATTTTTTTAATGTGCCTCTTCCTCTCCTAAAATCGATAACTCGACCTTTTTTAATTATTTTGAAATCGTATTTTTGCATATGAAAAAGAAAAGTTAGATCTTTCCTTTGGTGTATTTATAACTTCCCTACCTAAATTTAACAGGTTTTTTTGAATTTTTTTTAATTTGCATCTTCCTCTCCAAAAATCGAAAACTTTACCATTTTTAATTATTTTGAAATCGTATGTGGGCATATGAAAAGAAACGTTAATCTTGTATTTCGTGTATCTGTAATTGGAAAAATAATTAACAAACCTAAAAAATTAAACTTCAAACACCCGTAACTCAATTTTTTTCAAATGGAAGGCCACAATTTTGAATTTTGAAAAAGAAAATAAAATGGATATAAATATAAATTTTGACAAAAACCGATAAACAAAAACACGATTAGCCCGTCACACCAAACTTTTATTTTCCATACCAAGAAGATCCAAGAAGAAGAAAAAAAACCGATAATCTGAGTTTTTATTAATTATGTAAAATGTTTGGAAATCAGATAGTGTGAGGTTTAGAAAATGGCGAGCGGCAAAGCCGCGGGCCCCTTTTGTAAATTTTGACAAAATCCAATAGTCAATAGTTTTAAAAAAGCCTCGATCGACATTTTTTTAAATTTCAGTATTTCTTTAAAACAAATTTAAATGTTTTTTTGCAAGTCTAGAATTTTTTTAAGCCGGTACATTTGACACTTTTTTAGTCTCCCCAACTGTCTTTTGTAGCACGATGTTTTGAAAAGTTTCGATTAACACTTTACTAAATAAAAATGAAACTCTTAATCAAATCCGACAGGATTTGACCACATTGACTATTTATTTAATCTAAATTTGAACAACTTTGATATTCTATTTTTTTCTTATTTTGATGACAACCTATGTTAAAGTAGCTAGGCTAATGAATTTCTCACAATAACAAAAGAACATAACTTGAAAACTATCAAACCCTATACCTATAGGGAATGTTAATGTTAATCGAAGCAAAACTAAATTCTCCCCTATTTAGTGAAGAAAAAATTGGGGTCTTTTATTTAAAAAAATTGAGTTAAGGGTATTTGATCAAACCTTTCTCTCTCGTATACCCAAATACGGTTTCAACAAAATAAAAAATGGTAGAGTTATCGGTTTTTGAATAGCAAGATTCAAATCCAAAAAAAATTAAAAAGGTCTGAATATTTCAAAAACGGTTAAATTTAAGTATGGGGAAGTAATCCCAAAACGCAATGAAAAACATAACTTTCTCTTTAAAATAAAAAAGTTGATACCCACTTCCGGTGTAACAGGAAGTGCCGCCATCTTGAAAATATTTTCATTGATGAGAACTATAAACAAAATTTTAGATAAATATTATTCAAACTCCCAATATTCTAATGTGGGGTTTACCCGGAACACTTTGTATACATTGTGAAAGCAACACAGAAAAAGGAACACACCTGTGGCTTTCCTCCCGTCCATTGTCCCACTCCTTTTGACACTGAAGTGATATTCCTCCCAGCCAAGTTCAACACTTCTTGCACTTCCTCCAAATTCGGTTGAATGGCCACTTTGGGGATCATCAGAACCGAATTCAGGACAAAAACTGGAGTTCGTTCTGCTTGATCTAGAAAATTCCCTTATTTTTTGCCCACTCTTGGTCAAATTTCATACAATCGATGGAAAATCGTCTTCGGAGAGCCTCTAAAGACTGTCTTGTGACCTTCACTAGGACATCTACCACTTTTCTGCTGTAGTAGCGTCTCATTTCGTTCACTGCTCCTCGAACCATGTCTTCCATAGCCTTTGACATGCCCCCACTGAGCAAAAGATGGGGTTTCTCGAAACATTCCCAAACTAGAGTCCAATCTGACTGTTGTTGAGTCGAAGAACTCTCAATTTCGGCGTGATCTTCTTCAGAGAAGAACTCCTCCTGGGATTGGGAGTCACCAATCTGGGCTTTGCGTACCAGAGTTAGAATTTCCTCGACGGCTTCCTCCACCATGAGGCTTTTTCGGTGCAATTCCGTCGCTGCTGACCTACAAACGTGGTCCATTTTGTCGCAGAAGTCGTCAACGCTCCAAGGATCGTCTTCCTCTGGTAGAGCGTGGAGTTGGACCGATTGCATGGTGGTGAGGACCTCCAAGACTCGATTAGTGTAAACATCATGGACTCGTTCGGTCTAAAACCATTATTTCGTTGAATTTTCTCTTGAATCTTCGAAATTACCAAAACTTTAAACTTGTTAATACTCTCGTTTGCTCTATCGACGAATTTCTTCCAATCGGCTGAAACCCAAGTCAATCTATGCAAACCTTCCGCCACGATGTCGGTCAGTTTGACCAAATGGGGCAAAAACAGAGGTCTCACTTCAAGTTTCACACATCGCACAACTGTTAGCAAATCCTCGATCAAAAACTGATAATTTTATTGAAAAGCTATGGAAAAGTGGGTTTCCCTACCTGGAGGTGGTCTTTAATCAAACTAAAATGCTCCTGTTTGGAATACAGTGTCAAAGCTACCATTGGTACAGGAAGGTCCATTTTGATCATTAAGTCGGTTTCGCGGATCAAAAGTGGGATGGTGTTATGAAGGTTGACTTTAAGGCGTTGTTGTTCGGGACACACGGCCAAAAGGTGGCGCTTTAAACAACCATCCACGTCGCAAATCTGAAATTGTCAAGTTATGTTTTTGGAAAAAAAAAACACCACGGGATGTAATGACAAATTTCCCGACCGGGAAAATAGCTTATTACATGTTGATTCATCCAAATGGCCACCATATCGGTTTCGTATGATTTTAGTGTCGTTTCTGCTGCTTTATGTCTTCGGGATAATTCCGCCGTTGCTGGGAGATTTTTTAAAATGTGGTGAGTTGTGACGCATGAAAGGAGTTCGTCCAAGTGGCAAAGCAATGATCTGGCCCATTTAATACGACCTGCAAATATATACAGGGTGTGCAAAAAAAACTTCGAAAGATTTCGGGGGGTGCTTCCATAGGTCATAATAAGAAAAAAAGTTCCTATGGACCTATGTCCGGAAATGCTTCATAAGGGAGCTAGAGCGGTAACTTGATCTTATATATATCCTAACATAATTTTGGTTTTGAAAAATCAGGAATGCCTTGGAAATTTTCAAAAAAATACTTATTTTACTACAGAGTAGTGTGGAAAATAGTACATAAAGTTATTAAAAAAAGTTATTTAGAATCAATATCTAGGCCGGTATGCCAAATTTCAAAATTATCGGCCCACTATGATTTTTTATTTTTTTTTTGTTTATTTCACAAATCAAAGAATTTTATTTATTATGAATAGAAAAAAATTCACACTTACATTATTACTCCTAAACAACTTTTTAACGTATTTGTTACTAAAAATCAACTATTTTGGAAAAAAAATTAAAATCATAGTTGGCCGATAATTTTGAATTTTGGTATAGAGACCTAGATGATGATTCTAAACAACTTTTGTTAATAACTTTTTGTCGTATTTGCCACATAAAAGACACTTTACAGAAAAATAAGTTTTTTTGAAAATTTCCAAAACATAGTTGATTTTTTTTTAAATAAAATTATGTTAGAAATTAGTCTTTAAGTAAACAGGGCTGAACACCAAAAAATGAAAATTTAAATCGAGAATTTTTTATCTTTTACAAGCGTCGTTTTACAGGGTGTTAAAAAAAGATAAAAAAAACAAAAAAGTATTAACAAATGTTTCAAAAACGAATAATTTTCGATATTTCCGAAATTGTTACTTTGCGGACCTATGTTTATTAAGACTTTTTTGTTTGTTTTGGTCCATACTATTACCTCCTGGAATATATTACGATCTTTTTTAACGCCCTGTATAATATTAAACATTTTACTCGTTTTTCTCGAAAACGGTGCGTCGTACTGAAATAACACAAGAAACAATTTTGGAAGAAAATTAGCCAGTAAATCCGAATCTTTCAAAAATATTTCTAAAACCTTCCGAAGCAAAATTTTACGTCTTTGGAAATGTCAAAAATATATGACTTTCTTCAGAGGGCTCTAGCTCCCTTACGGAGCATCTCCGGGCATTGGTCCATAGGAACTTTTTTTCTTATTTTGACCTAGACAACCACCCCCCGAGGTCTTTCAACGTTTTTTTCCCGACACCCTGTATTTATAATTTTCGTTACCAGCAATCGGTGGGAACATTATAGGTACCGGAGGGTCGTCTTTCTGCTTCTTGTACATTTTGATAATGCGATCGACTTCTTTTTCACAGTATTTCAGAATTCGGTCATACTTATCGTCCATTCGTGTCAAGGGAATTTTCTCGCTAACTTTTTCAAATCGTGTCAAAAATCGAATCCCTTGAGGAGTCTCCCACACACTATCGAAATTCCTCTCAATGATGTTTCCAATATTCTCTTTGAGTTCGTCAGTTTGGGCCAAAAACAGCTTGAAATCGTTATTAAACTCGTTATTTCTTTGATCCAAATAGTCATACGATTTGTTCATGACGATGGATTTAATTTCGTTAAAATTCTGAATGGCTTCTTCAAGGGCTAAAATAATATATTAAAGAACTCGTTTCAAGGCAAGAGACTTGAAAGAAATTTTTATACTATTTTTTCTATTTTGCATGTCTAAATTTAGAAACTTTTGCCCTTACAAGGTGGTGGTTGGTAATAAATATCACAAAATTCGATTTTTGAAGTGTCAAATATACAGGATGTCCCAGCGAGTTGAAAAAGTCCATTAGTGACCTTTCAATGGTAAAATTTAAAAAAATTTAAAGGACATTGATAGTCCATCGCCTAAAATTATTTTCAACTATACAGCGTGTTTCAAAAATAAGTTACAATTCAAACTTGTGTTTTTTTAAATGAAACACTATATATTTCTTAGCGTTTTTGGATGTAGATTTTTATGACAATGTTTTTAAAAAAATAACACGGTTTTTTTGACAAAAACCTGCACTTTTTCAAAATTTATTACACAAAACTAAGACATCTAGAAATATTTTTACATTTTACATTTTTAAAGTTTCAAAATATTTTTTTTGTCACTAAAGCCACTTTAAGAAATTAGTGTAGATTTTATCAAAGTTCTACAAAAATTATTTCAAAAATTAGTAAGAATGTCACGTGTTTTATGCTCGACATAGACAAATTCAAAGATTTTTGAAATAAAGAAATTTTTTAATTACAATTAGCACATATTGTCAGAAACTATTTAAAATTTTCTAATATCCTAAATATTTTTTTTAATTTTGCCATTTAAAGGTCACTAATGGACTTTTTCAACTCGTTGGGACACTCTGTATATTTTTTAAAGTTTTGTTGAATTTACAATGAATACTGCACATTGTTCAAAACCAAAATCACCATTACCAACCTCTAGAAAATAAATTACATTTACTTTTTTTGATGTTATTTTGTTTTATTTAGTTTGTTTTTGAGTAAGATTTTGCAGAATAAATCAAAAATCACTTAAAAGCATCAAAAATTAAGCAATTTTTTAGTTTTCTACGTTTTTCGGTCAGAAACGCACTTTTTTTCGCAAATTTCTGCTCAAAAAACATACAAAAAATGCTAAATAAGGTCAAAAACGATGTTTTTTTCTTTTTTTGAGCGTTTAAGCAGAAAACTTAGTTTTTTCATAAAGATTAGCCAATGTAAGCCAAAAAATCATCAAATTAGATTGAAATTTATGTAATTTTGGTCTGTTTCGTTATATTTAGTTTATTTTGGAGACTAAAATTAATTTATTTTGCAAAATTTCGTCAAAACAAACCTAAAACTCATCAAACTGGATAGAAAATTACTCTATGTTTGCTTCGTTTATTGTTTCTGAGCAAGATTTTGCCAATATAAGCCCAAATTTTTGCTCAAAAAAACAAAAAAATCGCTAATTAGGTCAAAAATTAGTCACTTTTCGGCCTTTTCAGCCATGAAAGTTTCGCGATCCATAGTTTTTTAATTAAATTTTCGTTTTCTATCTTTGCTTAGTCTCCGCATTTTGCCGTTTTGCACTTTTAGCATGTCCAAAATTGCTACTGCGAGAGAGTAAATTAAATTAATTTTTACATTTTACATTTTTAAAGTTTAAAAATATTACTAAATATATCACTAAAGCCACTTTAAGAAATTAGTGTTGATTTTATCAAAGTTCTACAAAAATTATTTCAAAAATTAGTAAGAATGTCACGTGTTTTATGCTCGATATAGAAAAATTCAAAGATTTTTGAAATAAGGGAATTTTTTAATTACAATTAGCACATATTGTCAGAAACTATTTAAAATTTTCTAATGTCCTATATATTTTTTATTTTACCATTTGAAGGTCACTAATAGACTTTTTCAATTTGCTGGGACACCCTGTATGTTTTTTAAAGTTTACTTTTTCTGGGCGTTTGGCCAAAACAAATCTAAAATTCACAAAATGATGTTATTTTTGATTAGTTTGTTTTTGAGCAAGATTTTGCAGAATTGAAAATCACTTAAAAGCATCAAAAATTAAGCAAGCAATTTTTTAGTTTTCCAAACAATTATGAACGTTTTTCGGTCAGAAACGCACTTTTTTTCGCAAATTTCTGCCCAAGAAAACAAACAAAAAATGCGAAATAAGGTCAAAAACGATGTTTTTTTTCTTTTTTCGAGTGTTTAAGCACAAAACTTAGTTTTTTCATAAGGTTTAGCCAATGTAAGCCAAAAAATCATCAAATTAGATTGAAATTTATGTAATTTTGGTCTGTTTCGTTAGATTTAGTTTATTTTTGAGACTAAAATTAATTTATTTTGCAAAATTTCGACAAAACAAACCTAAAACTCATCAAATTAGATAGAATATTACGCTATTTTTGATTGTTTTGCTTCGTTTATCGTTTCTGAGCAAGATTTTGCCAATATAAGCCGAAGAAACGCGTTTCTTCCCAAATTTTTGCTTGAAAAAGCAAAAAATCGCTAATTAGGTCAAAAATTAGTCACTTTTAGGCCCTTTTCAGCCATGAAAGTTTTGCGATCCATAGTTTTTTTATTAAATTTTCGTTTTCTATCTTTGCTTAGTCTCCGCATTTCGCCGTTTTCACTTTTAGCATCTCCAAAATTGCTAATGCGAGAGAATAAGTTATTTTTACATTTTACATTTTTAAAGTTTCAAAATATTTTTTTGTCACTAAAGCCACTTTAAGAAATTAGTGTTGATTTTATCAAAGTTCTACAAAAATTATTTCAAAAATTAGTGAGAATTCAAAGATTTTTGAAATAAAGGAATTTTTTAATCACAATTAGCACATATTGTCAGAAACTATTTAAAATTTTCTAATGTCCTATATATATTTTTTTTAATTCTTCCATTTGAAGGTTACTAATGGACTTTTTCAACTTGTTTGGCCACCCTGTATATTTTTCAAAATTTCATGTACATTGTTCAAAACGCCGCTGAAAATCACCATTACCAACTTCTACAAAGCAAATTGCACTAGTCTATTTTCGGTGTTGAAATGTCTCATTAAAGCATCGGTTTTGGTATCGAAATAATCTCTCTTTCAGACGCAAAATAGAAAAAATTGATTTTGGTGTTTTACTGAAATAAACTATACCATCGCCCAACAACAACCCCTCCATGCGTCTTTGAAACAAACTGGTGTAATCGTCAATCAAATCAAAAGTTGCAATAATCCGGGCAAGTCTTCGACAAAAAGCGTCAAATTTTCCAAAAACGTAATTTTCGGAGAAATTGAACGACTGTTGACCGGGCAAAAAGGGCTGGTTTTTGACCAAAGCGTAGGTTTTTCGGTAGACTTTATTCAACATTATGCATTGTGTCAATTTGTCCTTGACAAAAGCCCGATCTTGGGACCAGATTGTCTCCTGCCCACGACAGGTAATATAATCCTTGCAAGTTTCAATCATTTGATTGGTGATCTGAAACGGCGGTTACTAAACTGAAAAACTGAAACTTTTTTACCTTGACCATCAACGCTGAAGTCCTTTCAGAAGTGTTATAAAACTGCGAAATGCTGTGAATCAAACGCACGGTTTGGAGTAACCCCAAAATGGAGTCTCGCATTTTAACAGGATCGTCGAGATACAAAGAGTGACAATTTTTTTCCAAAGCTTGGATAAACTTTGCATTATCTTTGGCTTCATTGTAACAAAACGTGATTTTTTTATCGGTTTCGAGCCACTCTTTCAGGACTTTAGAACGTGCTAATCGAAGACAAAGAATCGTCATTTGCACCTCACTCGAATTGACTTGATTCGTGATTTGGGAGAATTGGGCCCCCCTTTTTTTCCAATACTCTAGTTCGTCTTGGGGCCCCGAGGAGTCGTTCTCCCTCCTGACTTGCTCGCTCTCTTTCAGGATTTCAGTCAAGCGTTTTGACCACGTTTTGACTCGGTCCTCCAACGGGGCTACTTTCTCGACGTGTTTCGAGAGTTCGCGGACTTCGTCAGGGTCGAGGGGCGACATGAGGGCCCCCCCAGCGCCGTCGTCGAAGAGATTCCCCTCGTTGCAAACCTCCTCGCAGACTTTCAAAGCACTGCAGAAGGAGCGCAAGCCGGGCAAAAGCTGGTTTTTGACCATTGGGCAATTAGCAGTGTCGTCTTCGCAGTCGGGACTTGGGTGGGCTAGAGCCTCCATGAAGACGTGTTCGATGATGCGTTCCACTGTTGTTATCAAACCGATTCTTTGGGCGTCGATTACACCACAGAACAAGTCCTGGAAGAAAAAGGGAGTTAGGGGACCAGGAGGGGGGGTTACCACTTTTTGGAAGCCTTCCTCTGGGAGTTGTTTGGTGGTGCTAGTGCGGAAAATGTAGATGCAGATGCCGTCCAAAGGGACGTCCCAGCCGTCGGTCAAAAAGAGTTTTTTCTTGTATGTGGGTTGGAGTTGTTGAAGGAGGGCTTGACGACTGGTGCTGGGTTGCATTTGGCGACTTGTAGTAGCCTTCGAGGGGTCTATGGGTGGTAATTCTGTCTCTTCAACGTCTTGGTAAAACCACATGAGTTTGCTTTTCATGTGGGGCAAGAAGAGTTGGTTTATCTCATCGAGCTGCAAAAATTTTTTTGAGCTTTTAGCAATTTTGTCATTTTCTTTTTTCTTTTATCGACTTTGGGAGTTTTTCGCTGAGAAATACTCTAGACTCATTTTTGACGTAATTTTACAAGTTTTTATTTAGTTTTCAGGAAAATTTTCAATTTCAAAACATAAAACGCTCTAAATCCAAGTATTTCTGCTTGGTTTTGGTAAAATTTTTGTGAAATTTTGAAAAAAACACTCCTAAACACTTGAAAAATCAAAAAATTAAACTTAAAATTTTCAAAAAACAACTTTTCAGCTTTGTTTTAACGAAAACTAAGTTTTACCGTGAAAAACGCTCAAAATCTATCAAAATAAAGAAAAATAAACCATTTCAGAGCACAATTTTGATAGATAGATATGATTTATTCAAGGAATAAATACAAGAATAAATACAATTTATAACCCATCAATGACTTACATGGGTAGTCATATACATACATATTTTCACACAACAAACACAACGCATGTTTTCAGTTTTGTGGAAGAGTTTTTCGTATTTTGTGATTTTTTCCACTGAAAAACTTTCTATAAACTCAGAAATAAGGCATTTTAGAAAAAATCTCAGAAACTTCTACCTTATTTTGGCAATTTTTTTCGAATTCAAAAAGTTTTACTGTGGAAAACGTTCTAAATTTACAAATTAAATCATATTTGATGTAATTTTACAAGTTTTTATGTAGTTTTTATGAAATTTTTTAAATTAAAAACATAAAACGCTTTAAATCCTAGAAAAAAATTGTAACTTTCGATTTTTTTGTTAAATTTTGGAAAAAGCACTCCTAAATGCTAAGAAAATAAAACAAATTTCTACTTAAAATTTGAGAAAACAACCCTTTTTAGATTATTTTATTTTACAACTTTTCTGCTTTGTTTTAACGAAATCTAAGTTTTACCGTGAAAAACGCTCAAAATAAGGAAAAATAAAGCATTTCAGGACCAATAAGATCACAATTTTCAGTTTTGTGGTAAAGTTTTTCGTATTTTGTGATTTTTCCAGTGAAAAACTTTCTTTAAACTCAGAAATAAGGCATTTTAAATAGAGTTTCAGATACTTCTACCTTATTTTGGCAATTTTTTTTCAATTCAAAAAGTTTTACTAAAATTTTCTATTTTCTTTTCAAAATCTATCGAATTTGGTGAGTTTCTCGCTACATCTCGTTACATTTTTAATGTAATTTCACAACTTTTTACTTACTTTTAGAGAATTTTTTTAAATTCAAAACGAAAAAGGTTCTAAATCTCAGAAAAAAAACTTTCTGCTTGGTTTTGCTTTTTTTGTGAAATTTTGGAAAAAAACTCTCCTAAACGTTCGAAAATAATAGATTTTAAAACAAATTTTTACTTAAAATTCTGAAAAATCCTGCGAAAATAATTCATTTTAGATTATTTAATTTTGCAACTTTTACACTGAAAAACGCTTAAAGACAATTAAAATAAAGAAAAATAAAGCATTTCAGGATTAAGAAGGTCACAATTTTAGGTTTTGTGGAAAAGTTTTTGGTATTTTGTGATTTTTCCAGAGAAAAACTTAGAAATAAGGCATTTTAGATAAAGTTCCACCTTTTTTGGCCAATTTTTTCCGAATTCAAAAAGTTTTACTGTTGAAAATATTCTAAATTTACAAATTAACTCATTTCTTGATGTAATTTTGCAACTTTTTATTTAATTTTCAGGAAAATTTTAAAATTCAATGCGTAAAATGTTTTAAAATCTACTGAAATGAACAGAAATAATGCATTTCAGAATGAATTTTGTAACTTCCTGCTTGGTTTAGGTAAAATATTTCGAATTTTCAGTGAAACACTTCTACATGCTTAGATAATAATAGATTTTAAGATAAATTTCTACATGGGATTTTAAAAAACATGCAAAAATAGCCAGTTTTTAGGCTGCTATTTTTATAAGCTTTTAGCTTTAATTAATAATTTATAAATAACTCCATTCGATAGAGCAAAAAAAATCCTACAAGTTGCTAGGGTTTTTAACCCTAATTTTGTAATTTTCTATTTTTTTTTTTTGGCAAAATCTAGCAAATTTCATGAGTTTCTCGCTGAAAAATATTCCAGGCTCATTTTTACGAGTGTCTATTTAGTTTTTGGGGAAATTTTTAAAATTCAAAACGTAAAACGCTCTAAATCCAAGTATTTCAGAAAAAAAATTAACTTTCTGCTTGGTTTTGGTAAAATATTTCGATTTTTTGTGAAATTTTGGAAAAAGCACTCCTAAACGCGTAGAAAATAAAAGACATTAAAACAGATTTCTACTTAACATTTTCAAAAAACATGCGAAAATAACCCATTTTAGATTATTTAATTTTACAACTTTTCTGCTTTGTTTTAACGAAATCTAAGTTTTACAGTAAAAAAAACGCTCAAAATAGGGAAAAATAAAGCCATTTCAGGACCAATAAGGTTACAATTTTCAACTTTGTTGAAAAGTTCTTCATCTTTTAAGATTTTTCCACTGAAACACTTGCTTTGAAGGCAGAAATAAGGCATTTTAGATAAAATTTCGGAAACTTCTACCTTATTTTAGCAATCTTTTTCGAATTCAAACAGTTTTACTGCGGAAAAAGTTTTAAATTTACAAATCAACTCTTTTTTTTATGTAATTTTGCAACTAATATTTGGTTTTCAGGAAAATTTTAAAATTCTATGCGTAAAACGTTTCAAAATCTATTCAAATGATCAGAAATAATGCATTTCAGAATGAATTTTGTAACTTTCTGCTTAGTTTTGGTAAAATATTTCAAATTTTTGTGAAATTTTTTTGAAACACTTTTACATGCTTAGATATTAATAGATTTTTTAAAAAAATTCTACATAGCATTTAAAAAACATGCAAAAATAGACCAATTTTAGGTCGCTGGGTTTTTTAAGCGTTGAAATTTTAACATCATTGTTTGAGACAGAATTCAATAAACAAAAACTTTCTTTGTGATTGAAATTTAAAGTGTGTCACAAAACATAAAAAAGGAAAGACTAAAAATAAATAATAAAAAAAATATTTTTTAAAAATAAGCTTTTATTTAAAAAAATGTATAAAAAAGGAAACAAAAACAAAGCTAATTTATCCACTTCAAAGTGCCAAAACCCTCACCATATCGCCCTCAAACACGTGATCCATGATTTCATGTCTAGGTAGTCCAGTGGCGTCCATCAGGAGTTGAAATGCAAATTCCAATCGGGGGTCCATTTCGCCCCTTCGAGCCTTCCGCTCACATTCTTCCCGTCTCCGCTGCAAAAAAATTATTTTTTGATTACAAAATTGCGATTTTTTACCATGAGCATAATTTCGGGATCATCTTCAGAATCAGTTTCAGGTTCTGATTCTGAGTAGTGTCCCTGGGGCCCGTAGACGAACATTTTCAGAGACACAATGCTGGGGTTATGCAAAAGGCACGCGATCGCATTTCATGTCACTTAGTTATGCTTAGTGAGAAGTGTGATGTAATTGTAGAACACTGAAGTTCCTGGCACCAGTTATTTTCAAAGGTCAAAATTTTAAAATTCATTTAAATTGCTTGTCAAGTACAGAATGGAGAGTCATTTATTAAAAGGCTCTCTTTTATAGTAATAATAATGGTAAAAGTTATTGATTAATTCTTGAAAAATAATTATTGAATTACGTTTCGTTTCATAATGATACAGAGTGCGCCAGAACTCACGCCCCAGAGGTAAGATAGCAAAAATATGGAAAATTCTATCGATAAAAATTTCGAAGATATGAGAATTTAAATTTTGCATTTTGACTCTATTTATTTATAATACATATGTTTAAAAAATAATTTTCCAAGTTGTTTTGCCACAGACAAAAATCTATACTTGATCATCATTAAATAGACATAAAAAATGTCAAATGTCAAAATTTTTGACAGACTTTTTTTTAAATATTTTTTCATGTTCCTGGTATCTTAACTTACATGAAATTTTTCTCTGGGGCGCGAGTTTTGACGCACCCTGTAGAGTAAAAAAACAGAACAGAGAATAGAAAGAAAAGAAAAATTCCAAAATTACTTCTTAAATGCGTTATTTTCAGTTATTTTGTTGAAGTTTTGGTGAAAAGTTTTATAAATTTGTGAGATTTTAAAAGGCCTTATTTTTGCTTAAGTCACGTCAGGTAAGGTTGATAAGTTTAAAACATTTTTTATCAAAAAACCCTGAGAGACTCACCAAATTTTGGAAATTTTGTTAAAACAAGGAAACAAATAATTAAATTAGGTCTAAAATGTCTAATTTTTGTTTGTTTTCTAAAATCCCAAAACGATGAGGCAAGAAATTGTAAAATAAAGTCTCAGTTATTTTTTTCCAAAAAACTCCCAAAATTCATGAGATTTTACCAATACTTAATTCCAAAATTACTTCTAAAATTCACAATTTTTGATTATTTTGATGAATTTAAAGAAATTTACTGAGGAACTTAATAAATTCTAGATTTTGCCAAAATAAAGCAGAAAATTGCGAAATTAGGTCTAAAAAGTCCTATTTTCACTTTTAATCAAAAAACTAATTAAATTAAAAAGTTTTTGCAAAACAAAACAAAAAATTGTAAAATTGGTTCTGAAATACGTTATTTTTTTATGATATTTAGGAGCATTTCTTACCTAGAAACTTACTAAATTCCTGAAATCTTGTGACAAGGCAAAAAATTCCAAAATTACTTCTGAAATGCGTCATTTTCAATTATTTTGATGAATTTTGTTGAAGTTTTGCTGAAAATTTTTAAAGGCTTTATTTTTGCTTAGGTCACGTCAGGTTAGGTTGATAAGTTTAAAGCATTTTTTATCAAAAAACAAAAAAATATTTTGACAAAACTGGACAAAAAATTGCAAAATTGACTCCAAAATGAATTTGTTGTAAATTTAGTAGCGTTTTTTACCGAGAAACTCGTCTTATTTTTGTATATTTTCTGAGATTTAGAGCATTCTTCCTGCAAAATTAAATTAATTTGAAAAAATTTGCTAAAACGATGAGGCAAGAAATTGTAAAATTACGTCTGAAATGCGCTATTTTTTAAATTATCAAGCGTTTTTCCAAAAAACTTCAGAAATTTGTGAGATTTGATCAAACTAAGTAATATTTCAAAATTACTTTTGAAATTCACTATTTTTGATTATTTTGATGAGTTTAAAACGTTTTACTGAGGAACTTAATAAATTGTAGATTTTGCCAAAATAAAGCAGAAAATTGGGAAATTAGGTCTAAAAAGCCTTATTTTCACTTATTTCGATAAGTTTCAAACATTTTTTAATCAAGAAACTAAATAAATTAAAAAGATTTTGCAAAACAAGGCAAAAAATTGTAAAATTGACTCTGAAATACGTTATTTTTTATGATATTAGTTGCATTTTTTACCTAGAAACTTACTAAATTTCTGAAATCTTGCAACAACAATGCAAAAAATTACAAAATTATTTCTGAAATGCAATATTTTTACTCGTCCTAAATTGTAACTTCGTTTAATGTTATTTATGGCTTTTATTGGCAAAATTTTTGTACCTTTACTAAATAATTAATAAAAAACATACACAAGAGCATCGGTATTATTAAATAGGCATAAAAAAAAATAAATGTCAAAATTTTTTGACAGATAGATTTTTTTAAACATTTTTCCATGTTCCTGGTACCTTATCTTACACACCCTGTATTTTTGTCTAAAACGTTTGATGCTTAAGCTACTTACATTTAATGATTTCTCGCTCATTGATCTGTTGGGCAAAGCCAATCTTCTTAAGCCTTTAATCACCCCAAACTTGCTCTTTATAGGTGGTTTAGACATTTTATATGTGTTTTTATACGTTTTTTAATAAAGTATTTCACGTTAAAATATCATTGTAATGCTTAACACTTTACCCAATAAAAATGTATTGTATCCAAGCGACTTTCGTTTGATCGAATTTGTTGTGTCAATATTCACACTTTATGTTTATTTGTGGTTTTTGACCCAGCTTATAGAGCAAATTTCCGAAATTAAAAAGCAAAAAATATGAAAAGAAAGGCAAATAATTTTAATTAATCTAAAAATTTCTTGATAAAATTATCTGTTTTATTTCTTTTTTATCTTATTATTATCATTTTTTTAATTAATTTTTATTTAATTTTTTGATACGATTATTACGACTTTGATCAACACAGACTTGTACGAGCGTTTTTCGTATTTAATTTTTCTCTAATTGGGTATTTCGATTTGATTTTTAACGAAATCGAATATTTGGTGATAATTTATATTTTGGCGAATTAGATATTGGTCATAATCCCTTAAGAAATATCGAGTTTTTGAATAAAATTAAATTTGGTAATTTGAAATTAGAAAGTAATTGTGAGTGAAGACTAATTTTTCATTTTTAAACAATGTTCATTTTTCATTGGATTTACATAACAATAAACTGGTGACTTTGCATTCAAACTTGTTTAAAGGCGAAACTTATATAAACATTAATTTATTTAATTCTTCTATAACCAACATTGAGAGATTTGCTTTTAAGAATTTTGGCTTTTTTTCTGATTATTCTCTCAATGATAATCCACCTGTTCTCAACATTAGTTCAAACCCAATAATCGAACTCAAAAATTACACTTTTGAAGGCAGTTTTGTGAGCACTTTAGATTTATCAAAGTGTTCAATTGAGAAAATACAAATTAATGCTTTTTCCGGTTTATATTTGACAGACACTTTGAATCTGAGTGTTAACCAAATATCATATTTAAGTGTAAAAGTTTTTAAAAACTTGACACTTGTTCAAACAATCGATTTATCATTTAATTTTTTAAAAAAACTTAATAACCATTTATTTATCGATTGTCATAGTTTGAAATTTATCAATTTATCCAATTCCAGAATTGAGTTAATACAAGAAAGGGCTTTTTTCGGAAGTGACAATTTACTTGAATTAAATCTCGAAAATAATTTATTAGAGAAAATTAATTTTCGAAATTTTAGCCGACTTGAATTGTTAAAAGTGCACAATAATAAACTTTCAGATTCAGATTTGTCCTTTTTGTGTAATTTGTCAGCAAAAAGTGTGATCATGTCAAGTAATAAAATGCAAAAATTATTAAATAACTCTTGTGCTTTTGTAAAGTCACCCGAAGAAATCGATTTATCTAAATCTTCCATTTGTTGCATTGAACCAAAAACATTTCGAGGCTTGTCTTGGTTACAAATTCTCAGTTTGCGAGAAAATTTCATCGAAATAATTTTACCAGAAACTTTRACTTTTTTGAAAAGACTAAAACAACTCGATCTTTCTAAAAACAGAATTGCAGTGTTTTCGYAAAATTCTTTCGCGTTTGGAAATCGTCTAAATCTCTTGAATATCACATTTGTAAATGCAAACTTGACAAGTCATACATTTAAATGGCTGAATCATGTGGTAACTTTGAACATTTCCAATTCACAAGTGAGTTTGTCAAAAGATTGTTTCAAGGGTCTCAAATATCTGGAAAATTTTTATTTCCACGAAAGTCAAGTGACGGGAATAAATCCGGGTGCTTTTCAGGGACTAGACAGTTTGAAACAATTTGAAATACACACAATTTTTAAAAAGAGTAAAATTTTAGCAAGTGGGACTTTCGTAGGTTTGAAATTTCTAGACCATTTGAATTTATCTCTTCTCGAAATAACTGGAATCGAAAATGAAGCTTTTGTCGGCCTTACAACTCTTCTCAAGTTAAGCTTGAGTGGAAATAAATTAACGAAAATTGTAAACAGGACATTTATAGGTTTAGATCATTTAAAAATTTTAGATTTGTCTAAAAATAAAATTTCTAAATTGGAAATACTTGCATTTGATTCGAGAAAATTTCATCGAAATAATAAAATAAAAACTTTTGGTAATAAAAAATTGGCGGATGCGCCGGGTCGTCGTGTTAACTCGCAATAAGAAAGTATTTATTACACCAAAGTTCAGCTTTATTAATAAATGATAATTAATTATGCTCATTGTAAAATTATCGACAAAACAGCAAAAACAGCAAGCTATTAAATTTGAATAATTTTAATATTACGACCAACCTTGTTGAGTTCATCTTCATCAGCCATTTTAATCCAGTAAAAAACACAAAACTTTTTTGTTGAGAACAACAGCTGTGTTTGWAACGAATTCGTAGACGAATTGAATTAAATAACCGCTTTTTCAATAAGATATAGTAATGTATTGGTTGGAGCTGTGCGATATCGGGGATTTTCTCCGTGGTTTCAGCGGTCTATTTCATTAATATGACAAAATCACGCACATTAAGGACAAGCTTTTTAGACTTTTTGCAAGATATGTGTGTCAAAACTCGCGCCCCAGAGAAAAATTTCAAGTAAGATAAGATACCAAGAACAGGGAAAAAATGTTTAAAAAATTCTATGTCAAAAAATGTTGACATTTGACATAATTCTGATCTTGTATTTGTTTTTTTATAATTATTTAGTAAAAGTACAAAAATTTTGTCAATAAAAACCACAAATAACATTAAACAACGTTACAATTTTGGAGAGTAAAAATATTGCATTTCAGAATAATATTGTAATTTTTTGCATTGTGGTCGCAAGATTTCAGGAATTCAGTAAGTTTCTAGGTGAAAAATGCTCCTAATATCATAAAAAATACGTATTTCAGAGCCAATTTTACAATTTTTTGCCTTGTTTTGCAAAATCTTTTTAATTTATTTAGTTTCTTGATTAAAAAATGTTTAAAACTTATCGAAATAAGTGAAAATAAGGCTTTTTAGACCTAATTTCGCAATTTTCTGCGTTATTTTGACAAAATCTAGAATTTATTAAGTTCCTCAGTAAATTTTTTAAACTCATAAAAATAATCAAAAATAATGAATTTTAGAAGTAATTTTGYAATTCCCTACTTAGTTTTGGTAAAATCTCACGAATTTTGGGAGTTTTTTGGAAAAACGCTTGATAATTCAAAAAATAGCGCATTTCAGACTTAATTTTACAATTTCTTGCCTTATCGTTTGGGAAAATTTTTCAAATTCATTCAATTTGCTCTAAATCTTAGAAAATCAACAAAAATAAGACATTTTATGAGTTTCTCGGTAAAAAACGCTACTAAATTTACAACAAACTCATTTTGCAGTCAATTTTGCAATTTTTGCCATGTTTTGTCAAAATATAGTTTGTTTTTTGATAAAAAATACTTTAAACTTATCAACCTGACCTGACGTGGCCTAAGCAAAAATAAGGCACAAATTTATAAAAATTTTCACCAAAACTTCAACAAAATAATTAAAAATAACGCATTTCAGAAGTAATTTTGGGATTTTTCTTTTTTTTCTTGCTATTCTCTGTTCTATTCTTTTACTCTACAGGGTGTGTCAGAATTCGCGCCCCAGAAAAAAATTTCAAGTAAAATAAGATCCCAGCAATATGGGAAAAATGTTTAAAAAATTRTATCTGTCAAAAATTTTGACATTTTGACAGTTGACATTTTTTATGTCTATTAATGATGATCTTGTATATGTTTTTTAKAAMTATTTAGAAAAGGTACAAAAAWTTTTCCAATAAAAGCCACAAATAACATTAAACAGAGTTACAATTTAGGAGACAGCTTCCTTGTTTCCTCTTTTGCCTGTAGCAAAAAAAAACTTGAAAAACTCTCATAACTTCGAAATTTTTTTCGATAGAATTTTTTTAACATTTTTTCCATGTTCCTGGTATCTTACCTCACATTTTTCTCTGGGGCCCGAATTCTGGCGCACCCTGTATTATTAGTGTATTGCATTAAAAAAATGTGTACGATCACAGTAATCACTATAACAATAATTTACATAAAAACATTTTTCTAGAATGTAAATAGATAATTAAAATAGATCTACAATAGCATTGCATGTGAAGTCATGGATTGTTGAACATGCAAATCTCTGACTGGCACGAAAACTAAAAACGTTTTTAAAGAGCTAATATTACAAAAATATATTTGCATTTTTAATAGATTTTAATTAAGCACAGTTTTTAATTAAAAAAAAAACAATTAAATCACAAACCGAGCAACTAATAAGCTGTGAATTAAGCACTTACTTTTTAAGATAGATCCGGGAWATCAAGTTTTTGAAATTTTTTCATGTTTCACTGTTGTCTTTTTAATTGTGAATCATGAATAAAGAATTTATGTGATGCGAGGTTACAATCTGCGAACTTTATGCGAACTAATTAGGTGTTGTTAACAAACACCTCAAGATTTTTAAGTAATTTGCACCTGGCGCAGGCATGTACCATTGACATATCAATTAAAAGCTTAAAGTAAAATTAGATCGATGAAATTTTGTTATTTTTGTATAACCAATCAGATAATTAAATTGCATAAAAAAAATCAGACTTGTTTTCTTCAAATGTGTGAAGAAACAAAAATGTTGTTGAAAGTCTTGATATGCATGTCTTAAAAAAAATACGAATAAATTGTTTTGTCAAGAGTTGAAAAGAATCACTAAAAAAACATCACGAGTCTATCATTCAAACGTATTTTGAGAATTTTTATGTAGTACTTAGTGTATCATATGAAAATGTAAGTTTATAACACTTTCCATGGGTTTTTATTTTATATTAATACAATAAGAAATTAATAATCTGATCATTAATTTTATTGATTCTAAAAACTAAATATTTTGTAATAAATGACTTTTTTTAGTGTCGTAGAAAAAATAGTGTACAAAACTCGGTGGAAAGTTTCTAACGCATTTGTGGGGCTTCTAAACCAAAATTACACACTTGTGGGTTATACCGTGCGATCCAAAAAAAAATAAAAATAATTATAGTAGGCGACGATTAATTTTCTACAGTTGGTAACAAATTTTGTTGGAAATTTTCCACACAAACTGGAAGTTTTCGTCTTGTTTTTGTAATAACTTGTAACAATAAAAATTTGCTGCTTTAAAGTGAACATTATTACACTCAAAATAAATAAAACGCAAACTTGTCAAAAATCAGGATTGCTATTTGAAGGATTTTAATCACTGCCTACTCTAATTTATTTATTTTTTTCAATCGCAAAGTAGTTGTCACTCGTTATGTAATATACTATTACAAGAAATATTAAAAAATACATCAACTGAAGAATTTGGTGGTACAGCAATTTTTACAAATTCATTCACATAAAATAAAAGATCAAACAACTTAAACTTGCATTTTTGCAATAAAAAGTGTGCATTGTCGATTTTTTTTAAATAATCAACTACGGTTGGRACATTATCCAATAATAATTAAAACACTGCAACAATAATAAAGTTCGTTTTTTAATTATATGCGTGTGGATCAATTAATAACTCGAAAGACGTACCAAATAGCTGTCTCTTTTCAGCCTTGTTGCTCTCTCGCTACGTACACTGGCGGACACGGAATTTTGGACATCAAATTTATGTCAGTTCAAAAAATGTCAATGTAAGCCACGCTTTATTGTCATTARGATTGACATTTGAAATTAAAATTTGATAGTTTTAGTTGAATTTTATTTTTGGCGTTGATTTTCCAAAACAATAATGCCAGCAATATGTGTTTTTATATATAAGTTATTTTGATGTGTTGTCATTTTTTCTCTAGCTTTTAGTATAAAAATTACAAAAGCCCGAAGTGAGGTTAGTTGCCTAAGGCCCGATTTACATTTATTTTTATGTCAGTCGAATGACAAATCGTTTAAAATTCCGGGTCCGCCAGTGTATTTGCGTATGGTACAATTGGAGACAAAATACTTTGGTCGTCACATTTCTGACACTTTAATGTWATTCAAGCTTTAACGTTAAAATGAATGACAATTTTAAATTAATGACAGCTATTATATTTTCCTTCCTATCAAAAACTTGTCAACTATGATTGACAGTAGCTAAAAATAAGGTTAACAGTCCTAAAGCATCTTTTACAATTTAATGTCACTCAAGTGACATTGACGTCCAAAGTATTTTGTCTCCAACTGTACGTCACGCTATTTATCTCACTTTAACAAATGCGATGAAGTAACACAGAGCTAGTGACGTACGTCAAAAGTGTGTCTTACCGTCACGTAGGTCATTTATATTTCATTTTTAATTTTGAGACTAATATTTATAAGCCCTATAAAAATCCAAATACCAGGGAGTAGCTTTAATTTTTGACTTTAGTACTACAATGTCAGAAGCTGTCAAATGTCAAAAACAGACGGAGTCATGTCGTGTTCTTAATCACACTACCCCCACCAGCAATTTATTAAAATATAAACTGTAGTTATTTATTTTATAAGACGATAAAATTTATTTTTATAGTGTTAGTGTTTTTCTTTTTCTAAATTTGTGAACGCACCCAATCTTTAGTATATTTCAATTCTGTAGTGTTGGCATTTGTGTTTAACCTCATTTTTTTGTGATCTTAGCTTGTGATCAGAATACACCAAAAAAATCTCTCCTGTCTGTGATTGGCAATTGTTATGTTAACCTTCTTAATTTCATTTGATTTGTTAAAAAGAAAACACCAGAAAAATGGTGTTTTCCACAAATTTGAGCCTAATTAAACTAGAAGAGGAGGAAGAAAGGTAATGAAGTAAATAATAATTTTCATTTGCGTAACAAATGTTTCGAAGGTAGCCCCCAATTAACCTTACTTTTTTTCAGATTTGACGGATTGAAACTGTATTACGGATGCGAGAAATGCTCATTTAAGACAAAACTCTTATCCAGGATAAGAAGCCACGCAAAAATACACGAAAACAGCGAACAAAAATTTAATTGTTTAAGTAGTGGCCTTGAAAATTACAAGTGTCACAAATGCATAACATTTGAAACACAATTCTTGTCACAACTGAGATGTCACATTTTTCAAGGTCACACATCACAACATGTCGAACCCAAAAGCTTCAAATGTCACAAATGTGATTTCAACTCGTTTTCGCAATTATTGGTTATGAGACACTCCATTTTTACTAGACATCAAAGGAGAAGCGTTTTGAAATGTAAAGAATGTGATTTTGAAACTAGGGGTATAACCAATTTGAGAAGACATGTGATTTCTAGACATACAAATGCGTCCGAAATCCAATGGTTCAAATGTAATCATTGTTCGTATAAATGTAAACTTAAGCATAATTTGAAACAACACATGACCCACAAACACGATTCTAATTTTCGCTATTCGTGTAAACTTTGTGATTATAAGGCTAAAGTGAAGTCTCAGTTCCAACAACACGTGAATGCACGACACAAAGCCAAAAGTAGTGAATCATTGGCTAAGGGAGATGTCATTTTCACTAAATATCTACGAAAGAAACTAGGAGAGAAGGGAACTTACAAATGTACAAATTGCGATTACGACAATAAAAATTTTAACACTTTTAAAAGACACGTGATTTCTAAACATTTGGACGATTCTCAGATCCAGTGGTTCAAATGTGAACATTGTGAATATAAATCCAAATTCAAGGGTAATTTAAAACTACACATTATCGCAAAACACACTAAGACTCTTTTTCGGTGTAAACTTTGTGATTGTGAYGAGAAAACAAGATATGATTTGCAACAACACGTGAATAAACAACACACGGCTCCTGAGGATTGGTTTCACTGTGTCCATTGTAGTTACAAAGCAAAATATAAAAAATCATTGGATAAACATTTAAAAATACAACATAGCAATGGCAAACATTTGTGATTTTAAATGTAAGACTAAATCTCTTTTGAAAGCACACGTTAAGGTGGCCTTTAAAACCAATGTCAAATATACCGAGTGTTTCAAGTACAAACTTATTTTCTTTCTTTCATCAAACACACTATATTTTCGTCCTATCCTATAATGGTTTTCATATTAATGTGCATCGAAGTAGTCGTTGAAATGGATCATGTTAAGGTGGCAACCCTGCGAAAATTTAAACAATTCCAATCTCAATCTCTAAAAATTATTTTCTCAAATAAATGTGTACCCCAGTTTTTGAGGTAGCAAAAAATTATTAAAATGAACAACGTAATTTGTCATTATTAATGTGATTKAATTTGTACTGAATGACATTAATGACATTTTTTGTGTGAATCGGCCTTTAAATTAAAGATGCATTTAGACTTCTACAACCTACTTGATGCACATTAATATGGAAAAGAGTATACGTATGTCTGCGAAAGATAAAACGTCTTTTAATGACAACTAAAAATGTCAAATTTATTTTTGTAGTAAATTCTAACAACTTGTATTTTTTGTAACGTAATTTTTTGACATTTAGTTGACATACGAACTGCGGGCCGACATACGTCCTCAACTAGTACGATTACTTGATACTATTTCAATTTAAATTAGATACTGAGTTACCAACTTAAATACAATTTGAAGTTTTCTTCAACTTTTGAAGGCAAAAAATCATAAAATGTATGTTTARATCTGTACRTCAGAGCAAAATAGTATTAACTTCAGTTTTTAAATTTGATTTTATGTTCATTAAACTGAAGGTTACAAAACCCTTTTATTTCCATTTGATAAATTTTTGAGAGWGTTTAAATAGAATATTATGAATACAACAGACATTTAAACAAAATTATAGTTTTAAAAGGGCTCTAAAGGAAAACTTGCCTTTTAGTGGTTAAAACACAGATATAGTAATAACAATCGCTTTAACATCAAGAATAATGTGATTTTTCTCTAAGTTTACTCAACCTAAAGTATTTTTATTCTGTGGTGTTGGCAACTGTTTTGTTATTTTTAACCTCATTTAATTAAGAACTTGTGTTCAGAAAAGTAAACATCAGAAAAATAATGATGTTTTCCACAAATTTGAGCCCAGTAAAAGTGGAAGTGGAGGAGGAAAGGTAATTAATGAAGGAGGACTCTGAGACAATACAATTATGCAACCGAATAAAAGTGATTTCAATATGACTTGTTTTGATAAACGAAGTCTTAAATAGTAATTTAAGATATTTATTGCGTAACAAATTTTTCGAAAGTAGCCCCCAGTTAACCTTACTTTTTTTCAGATTTGACGAACTGAAACTGTATTATGGATGCGAGAAATGCTCGTTCAAGACAAAACTCTTATCCAGGATAAGAASCCACGCAAAAATACACGAAAACAGCGAACAAAAATTTAATTGTTTCAGTGGTGGCCTTGAAAATTACAAGTGTCACAAATGCATAACATTTGAAACACAATTCTTATCACAACTGAGATGTCACATTTTTCAAGGTCACACATCACAACATGTCGAACCCAAAAGCTTCAAATGTCACAAATGTGATTTCAAGGCGTTTTCACAATTATTGGTTTRGAGACACTCCATTTTTACTAAACATCAAAGGAGGAGRGTTTTSAAATGTACAGACTGTGATTTTGAAACTAGGGTTGTAACCAATTTGAGAAGACATGTGATGTGTAGACATACAGATGATTCCAAAATCAYTTGGTACAAATGTAAGCATTGTTCTTATAAGTGTAAACTCAAGGAGAATTTGAAACGTCACATGATTGTAAAACACGAGTCGCCTAACTTCCGTCCTGTCTTCAAATGTACACATTGTGATTACAAAACRATGTATTTAGGAATTTTGAAAAAACATATGATCTTTAAACATATGGACGATTCCGAAACCCAGTGGTTCAAATGTGAATATTGTCCATTTAAATGTAAACTTAAAAAAGAGTTGAAAAAACATATGACCCAAAAACACGACCCTAYCTTCCGCTACTCGTGTGAACTTTGTGACTACAAYGCTAAATTGAGTTTCTATWTGAACCGACATGTGAATACACTGCACAAAGCCAAAAGTAGTGAATTATTGGCTAAGAGATATGGCATTTTTACCAAATACGTAAAAAAGAATCTAGGAGAAAAGGGAGCTTACAAATGTACAAATTGTGATTATGAAAATGAAAACTTTGATAGTTTTAAAAGACACGTGATTTCTAGACATTTGGACGATTCAGAAATRCAATGGTTCAAATGTGAACATTGTGAATTTAAGTCCAAACTTAAGAGTAATTTGAAACAACACATTAACACAAAACATACTAACACTCTCGTTCGGTGTAAACTTTGTGATTATGAGGCGAAAACAAGATGGGCTTTGAGACAACACACGAAGAAACAACATAAATAAGAATTCTTAGCTAAACATTTAAAAATTACAACATAATGTGTTTTTTTATCAGAGAAATTCAAGTCTTTCCTTGAAAAACACTAAACACATTTCAAATTGAGTTTTTTGTTTTTAGTAGCATTYGCTATTTAAAATATTTGGCCAATGTGGAATAATTGTAATTCTCATCTTTAATTTTCAAGTATTTATCTGAATTTAAAAATAAACTTTAAGAATGATTGATTCTCTTTTATAAAAATTTCTTGTCCATTGTCCAATATGTTGGCAATGCAAAAATTCCTAAATAAATAGTTGGTCAAACTGCCTTTTGACATTTGTTGGGACAAGAAAAAAAATTAAAATTTATTAATATTTCGTCTTACAAAACCGTGCAATGAGTGAAGACCTGCAAAGAAAAATCCAGTCGGAACTGGACAGTTTTAAGAATACCCAAAAAGGTACAAAAACCCACATTTTTCCAACCTAACCCAACTTTTC